AATAAATTGTGATTATATAATCCCAGCATCATCATATACATTCAGTCCAACGAAAATCAGCAGGAAACCTCACAGAGATGGCATAACCAGATCTGACCTTGTATCCTAATTGTAATGGAATATTGGGGAAATCTTGCATATTTTTGTTTGATCAAATTCAGGGCATAGGTTTAATTATAAGTCAAATGTGACAAATCCTACAGAGGTGTTAATGCCTTTTTTCCTGCTCTCGCTCTCCCATTCAATAGCTGCAAAAGATTGCTATGTTGCCTCCAAAAACAAAGCCAGGCCATAATGCAAAGTATATAAATATTCATAGCTCACCTGCTAAACTAACATTAACTTACCTCCCATTTCTCAATATTATTTGGTCCACGTTTGCTTGTTCTGAGAAGATAAAGCTTTCCTGTTCCATCTGACAAGGCTGCCCACGTAGGTGATGTAAAATGCATAGAAGCGCAGACTAAGGAATCACAAGATTTAATCTCTGGTGATAGGCGGAATACCTCCCGGGGTTTGCTTATTGCAGTATCCTTTGAATACAAACATGCATTTTAAAAATCAGGAGATAAATGAAGATTGACTCACCCAAATTTTAAGAGAAAAAAGCTAAACTAAATTCATGCATCACATTTACTCCTTAGAACAAATATTCTGAAATGTCACTGGAAGATAGGTAAATGTGGAATTACAGTTCAGTAATTAAAAAATTGATAAATAGCATGACAAAGAAAAAACATAGGAATTGTAGACTAACAAAAAATGAAGGGCCACCTACTTCACGTTTTACCACTATGATTATCATTTGATGATCATAATGGAGCTGTTGATTAATCACAACAATCAATCTCCTAATGAAGCTACAACAGATCCAGACATCAGGTGAGGAAAACCTCCAATGGTGGAGACTACTTGCAAGTTGGAGTCAGAGTTATATAGGAGGCAAACAGACCCTTCGGCCCAACTCATCCAGGTTTCCTAAACTGAACCAGTCCTATTTGGCTGAATTTGGCCCATGTCCATCTAAACTTTTCCTATCCTTGTACCTGTTCAAGTGTCTTTTTAATGTTGTAATTCTACTCGCCTGTACCATAACTTCTGGCAACTCGTTCCATACATGCACTAGCCTCTGTGTGGAAAAAGTTGCCCCTCAGGTCCTAAATCTTTCCCCTCTCACCTTAAACCCATGTCCTCTAGTACTGGGACTTCCCTAACCCAGAGAAGAGACCTTGGCTATTCACCTGATCGATACCCCTCATGATTTTATAAACCTCTGTAATGTCACCCCACAACCTCTTACATTACAGGGGAGAAAACTCCCATTTTGTCCAGCATCTCCTCAAACCCTCCAATCTCAGTAACATCCTTGTAAGTCTTTTTTGCACCTTTTCCAATTTAATAACATGCTTCCTATAGCAGGGTGACCAGAATTGTACACAGTACTCAAATGTGGCTTTACCAATGTCTTGTACAGCCGTAATAGGACATCCTAATTCCTATACTCAATGCTTTGACTGATAAAGCCAAGTGTGCCAAACTCCTCATTCACCACCCTGTATACTGTGACACCACTTTCAAGGAACTATATACCTGCACGCCCCAGATCTCTCTGTTCAACTGCATTCCCCAGGGCCCTACCTGGTTTGTCTTACCAAAATGCAACACCTCGCATTTATCTAAATTAAATTCTATCTGCCATTTCTCGCCCACTGGCGCAGTTTGTCTTCTTCACTGTCCACTATATCAACAATTTTCTCGTCATCCACAAACCTACTAACCATGTCTCCTATATTCTCATCCAAATCATTTCTATAAATGGATTTAATGCTTTTAGCATAACAAAGTTGCATATCTCCCAGATTATCCTAGGATCTCTAGGAATTAATCCTCAAGACATATATAGGAAAAAATATAGGGATCCTTTCTTGGTTCCTACAGCCAGACTCAGAACTTTAAATTGTGCATGTGCAGGCTGTAAAAGGTGCTATCTAATTTACCCCAAAATGACTGAGTGCTGTTAGCCTCACCATTATTTTTAATGCGTAATCCAGCTATTGTCTCTCGCTACTCCATTTAAAATGTCTCTCGTAATTTACCCTTTCTTGGAACAGCATTCTAAATTTTTTTCTTCTCCGTAACCCTGACTTACCTTCTCCTTTCATGTGATTTATCTCAGTTCCTCTTTGCCTCTTTTTATGACACAAAGGATCAAAGTACTAGCTTTTGACCCCTACTTTCATTCAGTCAAGATAATTTTTCCTCTTTAAAGCTTATCTCTGCTGTCAAAAGTAAAAGTAACATTGAGTGCAAAACTACTTCCAAATATCAGGCTAGAATTAGTCTCACCTTCTTTCTCAATATTTACTTCAACAGCCAATGGAAACAAGATTTTATACATTATAAAAATCAACCTGTGAGATAACCACAAAAGCAGCTTTTAGTCAAATAAAAAAGAGTCAACTTGTAGGATCAATGCCATTATTTAAGGCAGTTCAACATAACTAGGAGAGCTTCTTCTGTGGTGAACCACACTCTCTAACATTTATTCTTAAAATTAACAGGTTTTAAATGCCATTAGAAGTGAGTGAAAGCATTGAATGAGACTTGCATCTATTCCTATATTATACTAATAGCTAGTGATCTCATGCTTCAGTACTCCACATATGCTGAAGTATGTGGAGTTATTTTGAAGAATGTCGAAACAGATATTAGATAAAAAATAATTATTGGAGCAAGCAAAAACAAAATCAAAAGAATAAAACAATAAAAAAAGTGAAATTTGTGTTGATACCTACTGTTCATTAGAAAACACAGTACTAAAATGCTTTTAAATCCTAATGCTGATTCTGATATATGTAATGCAAGATAAATTCGCATGGAAAGTTTTAGAAGAAAACTAAAAAATCAGTTGCGACTTTCTAGTCATAAAGATTGAGTGCTGATCAAAATTGGCAGCAGTAAGAAAGAACCCATCAGTAAGGTGACGACACATCAGATTCATAGAAATTCTACACACCAGCTCTCATTTGTACATCAATTTTAACATTGTAAAACATCCTAGAAACATAATCGAAGAGAAGAAAAAAAAGCCATGTAAGGAGATGGTAGGTCAGATGATCAAAAGCTTGCCCAAAGAGATAGGTTTTAAGGAATATCTTAAAGGAGGAAACCAGGCAAAAGAGTCATAGACAGAAAATTCTAGAGATAAGACGACTTAGGTAGCTGAAGGCCAAAAATGCTGATGATTAAAATTGGGAATGCTTAAGTGGCTACAACTGGATGAAGACATAATTTGGGGTACAGCAAGGGGCCTGGTAGAAGGATTGTAGTACTAACAAAGGGAGGGGCAAGACCATGAAGGATTTCAAAAAAAATCCCCAAAAAGTGAGTGCATCAGAAGCTAGCTAATGATTGCCTTTGAATGGGTCATTTGACTCCAGCATTTAGCTTTTCACTTGTCATTTTACGAACTATGCTACAAACTGTTCAGTGATGCAGATTAATCTCAGTGGACTCTACAATTGCAAGGAAAAAAAACCTTGAAAAATTCCAGACAAATGGAATTCAATTAGCCTTTTCTCACAAATACAGAAGAATTAACCTAAATGACTAACTCAGTTATTCCCAACATCTGCTACAGACAGTCTATTAACATCTTATTCAAATAATATTCCCTTCAAACTCAATTCTAATGCCTTTTACACCTACTCATGTATTCTCATTGGGCCATAACATTTGTAACATTGACACTTCTTCACACCGAAAAGAATGGCTTCATTGAAGCACAGTGACTTCTGTAGTTAAAAATTTTCAAACAAGATCCCACAAAAAACCCAAGGAGGAAAGCGGACAGCTGAGTGATTTTCTGTTAAAGGAGGAATGATGAGGTGAGCAGTTAAAGTGTCTCAGTGTGCTCTACATATTGTGGGCATTTTCAATCAGGCAGCTTGATGATTGAGCTAAAAGTAAATCACACCCTATCAAAGGGATTGCAATATCAGGGAGGTCTGGCAGAACTTGCACAGTCTTAAGAAATGATAGGACAAGGTGAAGATCTTTATTATGTACCAGACAATGCTTCCTCAAAAGCGACCTGATAGAAGTTTATAAAATAATGAGGGGTATAGACTTAATGGTAGCTGTCTTTTCTCTAAAATCAGCGATTTCAAGACTAGGGGGCACATTATTAAAAGGTGAGAGGAGAGAGATTTAAAAAAGACATGAGGGACCTTTTTTTAAAAAAAAAGTGGCTCGCGTGTGCAATGAACTTCCTGAGTAAGTGGTGGATGTGGGTACAATTACAATATTTAAAAGACATTTGGATAAGTACATGAATAGGAAAAGTTTGGATGGATATGGGCCAGGAGCAGGCAGATGGGACTAGTTTAGTTTGGGATTATGTTCAGCATGGATTGGTTGGACCAGAGGGTCTGTTTCCACGCTGTAGGACTCTATGACACTATATCTAGGGCTTTAAGAAATACCCTTGCTGTATAAAAAGTGCCATGGAATTTAGAAGCAGTGGCTGGTAGATGATTCCGGATTTAATGCGTTATCTGCAATGCTGTGAACAGTTTTGGTCTCCTTATTTAAGGAAAATTGTAAATGTTTTGGAGGCAGTTCAATTAAGATTGGCTAGATTGACACCTGGAATGAGCAGGTTGTCCTGATGATTGGTTGGATAGTCTGGGCTGTTTCCAATAGAATTTAGAAGAGTGAAGATGACTTGATTGAAGCATACAAAATCGTGAAATGCCTCAACAAGGTGGAAATGAAAGGACGTTTCAACGTGTGGGAGTATTTAGATCTAGAGGGCACTGTTTAAATTGAAAGGTCTCCCTTCTAGAACAGACAGTGAAGAAACTTTTTCTCTTAGGAGGGAAGTGCAACTTCAGAATTCTGTGGCTCAGAAGGCAGTACAGGCAAAAGTCACTGAAAATTTTAAGGTCAAGGTAGATTGATACCATCACTTGGCAAGAAGTTAAGGGTTTTGGGGATAGGCAAGAATGTGGAATTCAAAACAAATAGACCAGCTATGATTTAATTGAATGACAGAATAAGCTCGAAGAGACAAATGGCCTGCTTCTGCTTGTAGTTCCTTTGTTCATATCCTGCATTGTGTAGGCTCCATTTAGGGATTAGATGGCTAGAACATGAAATAGCCAACGCTAATTTAAAAGGAAAGACTTTCTCTAACAAAAAAGACTCACTCTGAGAATACTGCAAAATATTTCAGGAAAACTAAGTACTAAATACCAAACTAAATCCTATGTTACAGTTTATTCAAACTTTTAGAATGTAATAGATATGAAAAATCTCCAAGGTAAAACCACACACATTGAGGTTAGAAGATGGGTCCATATAAACAACTAGTTTTGTTTTAGAAAGGAAAAATAGCAATGAACATCAGGATCTTTTATCAACGCACGTGAGGAGTTGTGGCTGTACTATCAAAAGAACAAATGCATGGACTCATGTTGATTCTAATCTCCACAAGTTGCCTGAATACAGAAATCAATAACGGTTTTCAAAATGTTTTGCTGGTGTTCAATATGCCACATAAAATGTTAAGACGCAAGCGCTGTTAGAGCTGGGAACAATATGTTTGCATGGTTAAAAAACTGGTTAGTGCAGAGAAAGCAAAGAACAGGAATAGACATTTTGAAGCTTGCAGGTGAAACAAGTGGAGATCTACAAGGAACAGTGTTGGGCCCTCAGCTACTTGCAATCTATATTAATGACTTGAACAAAAAGACGTAGCACAATATACCCATGTTTGCTGACAATATATTGCTAGGTGTAAACATATGCTGCAGCGGGGACATAAAGGGTGCAAAGAGATCTAGACAGGTTGAGCGAGTCAGCAAAGCGATAGTGGATGGACAGTAGTATGGGAAAGTGTAAGATTATTTGCTTCGAAATTAAGAATACTAAAGCAGATTTTTTAAACAAAGGCATGAAACTTCTAACCGTTGATGTTCTGAACGATGTGTATAGTCACATAAGGAACAAAATAGTTAGCACACAGGTATAGCAAGTAATTAGGGAAGCAAACTGCAAGTTGGCCTTCACTGCAAGGGGATTGAAGTACAAGAATAATGAAGTCTTACTACCACTGCATACAGCTATAGTAAGACCACACCAGAATTACTGTATGCAGATCTGGTCTCAACATTTAAGAAAGGGTGTATCTTTACCGGAAGAAGTGCTACAAATATTCACTATATTTGTTTCTAAAGCAACAGGGACACTCCCACTGCACCAGAAGAGCCGCTCACTAAGGAAGGTGGGGAGCATGTGGGAATGCACAGTTCAGGCCAATGATCACCACAATGGTTGAATGGAATGGCAGGTTCAAGAGACCCTATGTTCTAGACTTGCTCCTTTGTTTTGTTTATGAACCGCAGGCGCATAATTTCCCAAGGAAGAAAGCAAACAATGTTAAAAATGGAAAATCACTCAAGTTTTATACCAAATCTCTTTCAACAATTCCCTCTAATTCAAATTCAATTCTTTCCAGGATACTGTTCCTACAGAAAGTGCAGATATTTGAACTGGCAGTTTCCATTAAGAAGGTAAAGGTTTAATTTCGCAATCCTTCAGTAGTTCACAACATTTATCATTTTAAGTTGTTAAATAGAGATACAATAAGACAAACTTACCAAAGTGATGTCCAGATGCATGACCCTCTCATGCTGATCAATATAATAGACACTGTCTTGATACCATCTGTCACAGTGCAGATAGTTATACATGCCAAAGACACACATATGGTCCAGGGTGTACTGATCCTCACGAAGTTTCACTTCAGCAACAGCTAAACAGAAACACATCAAAGACATGATCAGAATAACCATCAGAACTCAGAGACAATATTTTCTCCCACACTCAAGAGAATTCATTTCATTTCTAGCTGGTTGCTAAGCTGAATCGGAATCATTCAGCCCAACAAAATGCATTGGCATATGAAAATAAAAATCAATACCTTTGAGACATAAAAATCAGTACAATTAGTCTACATGTACACCTCAAGGTCCTGAAAGGTGATACATCAATTCATTTCTTTCTATGCTTGCAGATAGGTTATAGCAAGCATTAATATGCATTGTGCCTATACAGCAGGGTCTGCTTAAGGCAAATAAATAGAAGCTGACTTTTAAAGCAAAGCTTATTGCCAGCAGGCTGTGTTAAAAATAAGACAATTTGGACATATTTAAAACTTTAGCTTGATACTTTCTTGCTGTATTCCAAGTATGCAGATTTTATAATATGATCCAAAATTACACTCATAGCAAAGAAGTCTTGGTTTATTTACTTAGATAGAAGTTACTGACAAGAATCACGAAAATGTTAATGTGATGTTTTGCAACTATGTTTCAGGACTTCACCCACTTTTTTTAAAATTTACCAGTCACGTGCAGACATTACCTAAAATCCTTACAATATTCATTTATAAGGTGCTCCATGTTTCCTCGAATTTAAGAGGCAAATGTATTAAAAGGTATTAAAAGTCTTACCTAGCGTGACTGCGGCCTTTCAGTTGTTTCAGCGGCGGGAGTCCGGGAGAAAGCGCGAGGGCAGCCTGGGAAGGTAAGCTTCCACCCAATAAATTTGGGAGTTAACTAATACCCGAGACACTACACGTGTAGTGTTTCCCACCCTTCTACCTCCTCTAACCTAATAATAAACGACTAAGTGTGGTGAGCAGGTAAGCTATTTGCATTTTTTTTCCTCATCTCTTTGTTATCTTTCGGGGTGGTCACCTAGACACCAAATCCTCTGGGGGCGGGTCGGAAGGCAAAGCCGGAGTCTGTTTGAGTATATAACGGAGTAAACTTACTGGTGCAGCGAACACTGTGAAACTAAAAAAAACTAATTAATTTTAAATAATTAACTAAGTAGAGATGGCAGGCCAGGTGATGTGTTGTAGCTGTATGATGTGGGAGCTAGCTGAGGTCATGTTGCAGCTGCACAAAACTCTGGTGCGGCCGCACTTGGAGTATTGCGTATAGTTCTGGTCACCGCATTATAGGAAGGATGTGGAAGCATTGGAAAGGGTGCAGAGGAGATTTACCAGAATGTTGCCTGGTAGGGAGGGAAGGTCTTATGAGGAAAGGCTGAGGGACTTGAGGCTGTTTTCGTTAGAGAGAAGAAGGTTAAGAGGTGACTTAATAGAGACATACAAGATGATCAGAGGATTAGATAGGGTGGACAGTGGAAGCCTTTTTCCTCGGATGGTGGTGGCTAGCACGAGGGGACATAGCTTTAAATTGAGGGGTGATAAATATAGGACAGATGTCAGAGGTAGGTTCTTTACTCAGAGTAGTAAGGGCGTGGAATGCCCTGCCTGCAAAAGTAGTGGACTCGCCAACTTGAAGGGCATTTAAACGGTCATTGGATAAACATATGGATGATAATGGAATAGTTTAGGTTAGATGGGCTTCAGATTGGTTTCACAGGTCGGCGCAACATCGAGGGCCAAAGGGCCTGTACTGCACTGTAATGTTCTATGTTCTATGTTCTATGATCCCATTGAGAACGGCAATGACCACATCTGTAGCAAGTGTTGAGGAGCTCCGGCTCAAAATTGATGAGCTGGAATCCGAACTCCATACAGTGCGGCACATCCGGGAGGGGGAGAAATACATGGATGCTGTGTTCCAGGAGGCAGTCACACCTGGCAGATTAACTAATGTTAATTCGATCGGTGGGCAGGGACAGCAGTGTGTGACTGCGAGTGAGGCAGGTAGAGGGACCCTGCAGACAGGAACACAGGAGCCGCAGCCCTTGACATTGTCCCACAGGTATGATGCACTTGCTCCCTACATGGATGAGGAACAGGGCTGCAGGAAGGATGAGTCAACTGACCATGGCACCATGGTCCAGGAGGCCATTCAAGAGGGGGGAACAAAAAGACAGATTATAGTTGTAGGGGATTCCATCATCAGGGGGATAGACAGTATCCTCTGCGAGCAGGATAGAGAATCCCACATGGTGTGTTGCCCGCCCGGTGCCAGGGTGCAAGGCATCTCTGACCGGCTCAAGAGGATACTAGAGAGGGAGGGGGAGGATCCAGTTGTTGTGGTCCACATAGGTACCAACAACATAGGCAGGACTAGGAAAAAAGACCGGTTTCGGGATTATGAAAAGCTAGGAACAAAATTAAAAAACAGGTCTTCAAGGGTCATAATCTCTGGATTGCTGCCCGAGCCATGTGCAAATTGGCATAGGGAGGTAAGGATCGTGGAAGTAAATACGTGGCTAAAAGAGTGGTGTGGGAAAGAGGGTTTCCTTTTCATGGGGCACTGGCATCAGTTCTGGGACAGGAGGGATCTATATCGCTGGGATGGACTCCACCTGAACAGGGCCGGGTCCAGGGTTCTGGCAAAAAGGGTAAATAGGGTAGTTAATAGGACTTTAAACTAGTAAGTAGG